CTACAAGCCCATTTAGTACAATTGAAAATCCCATATCTAAACTTAATATACATTTTACATCTAATACTAAAACAATAATAGACTTAATACAAAAAAAATAACTAAATGCCCAGACCTGGAATTGATTCTATTGAATGAAATCAGTCACGAGTTGAGAATTATAATAATTGAAATAAAATATTATCTGAACAAATGATACTTTTCCAAACATAATACAAATGTTACACACACACACACACACACACACACAGACACAGACACAGACACAGACACACACACACACACACACACACACACACACACAGACAGACAGACAGACAGACAGACAGACAGAGTAAAAGTAGTGTTTCAGGCTTTGCCTACTACTGCATATATATGAGTTTCTGGTTCTGTCCCACAACCATCGAATTGCGGACCGTTTTCTTGACAACCCAATAGGAAATATGAAACATTTGATCTCTTTGCACCTAAAGGACTTGAACAAACAACAAGAACTCCCCTCTCCCTATTCTGTTTTAACATACGGGGCCTTTTCGAAAAGTGAACATTCATCGTTCTATGACAAAAAATATTCACAAGTTTTTCTGTTGTTTTCTTTTATTGCGTGCCAGAAGAATTAATTTTACTTTTGTATTATTGTTATTCTTTACTCAGACTTAAGCAAAATATCTTCTAACAAAACCATTATACAATTAAGCTATCAATCATTCATGAATCTGAGAGAATGTTTCTGGAAGTAAAATAAAATTTAACTAAGGCGAAAGTATAAGGAAAATGGCTTTATTTCTGGTATTTCGACCGTAAATTATCCTGCAATTATCAGCATAATATTAGTTATTGTCTTGCTCTCTCCCAGAGTACTGCTTCTCCAGGCAACACCTCCCACTCGATTTAAATCGAGGACTGGAGTTTTAGCCTGAGGAGAGAGGGTTTGGCTATTTTTCAGACAATGCCACGTGGTGGGGCAATTCACCGCAATGCAATTTAATTTCAGCCTTCTTGTGTCAAAAATGAGATTTTTGCGCAACTTGATTGAATAAATTAAATAAATACCTTAGTTTAGAAGAACACAGAAAAATGACTAATATTTCGTTTATCGCAAGTATATTATTTTTTATTGCATGACATTAAATATGATTACAAACATACTTAAACAGTTTTTTCATTAATTTAAAAAAAAATGAAATTTGGTTTTATTTTACGCTTCAAATGAAAATTAAAAAAAAATAAACTAAACATTAATATTTGTAATTTGTTTGTTTATTTTATCTTAAAGAAAAACCCGACTAATAAAAAATAATTCTATGAATGCATTTGTTCTTTATAAATAACAACAATATAAGAGAAAAATATTGAAGCAACTTTGTGAAATAAAAATGTTAATTTATTTTTAATAAATGTCGAAGTATACAATTTAAAAACAAGCGTAGAAAAACGTCTTCGAAAAGAGACACGTCGGTTAAAATTAACTAGACATTAACTTTATATAATATTACTTATTAATGTCATTTTCTTCTTTAATTTTAATTAAAAAAATCATTACAGTTCACTCAATAACAAAAAGAAAATTTGGTAAAAAGAATCATACTTTTAACTTTTAGTTACATTTATGCAGGACGTAAAAAAGAGAATTCGTTTTTGAAGTTAAACTGTTTATATTTTTTTTCAAGAACATTGAATAAATTTCTAACAAAAATATTAAAAAATATTGAATAATAAACATTTAAATGAAAAAACATATTGAGTCAGTGACTATTAAGCTATTGTACCATACTTCATTAAAAATTTAAAATACCCTGGAAAAATGACAGAACTGCAACATTAATTCCGTTCACACTGACTTTCTTTTACAATATCAAAAATACAGAGAGCTTGTTACTCAGCTTTACACAAGCCTTGAAAAATGTAAATAGTTTTAAGAACTGATAAATAATTACCAATATTGCCCAAGTAATACAGAAGTTATACACTCCCGTTCGATGAACGTATTTCATACACACTCGCTAATGTATATTTATACGCGTATATCATAGTTTTCCTTTTAGGTAAAGATAAATAAAACATGCATATGAGATCGTGTACTCAGACATCTGCATGTGTATTTATGCCTGTGTGAGTGCCCGCTTTTAGGATATTTCACAAGCTTCGGTATTTATGTTTATTTATCATGTAACAATGGAATACATCTAAATGTCATATGTATATTTAACCCATAAAATCGTTAAGAAAATTGAAAATATTAATAAATGAGCTAAATGAAGTAAATACATATGTATTATGATCCTAGATTGACATGTTACTTGAGAAATACTTTGTACGATATAATAATTTGCTAATTGCTTATAATAGTGAGGAAGAATCTCCAGTAGGCTCTTGTATTCGGGGGGATATTATCGCAATATTATTGGGGTTGTTCAGAGCTAACTTTGTTGGAACTTAACGTAGATTTTTGTTTGTTTAATTATTATTTATGATGTTTTTTCGCACAAATATCACGTGTATACGGAGAATACAGGATGGAATATAATTCCACTCATTTTGGACAAAAGAGTTGTCAATCACGTGTTCTTTAGTTATTGAGGACTCGCTAGCTAATATAATCTGATATCTGATCAACGAAAATTGGATCAAACCATATTCACATTAAAAGCAGACGCACATATCTAGTATGTCATGTCAGCGGTATTGAGTTTCTGTTGCACAAGGGAGCAGAAAAACCAACACGACGCCCCTGTTTAAACAATCTTACCAAAAACTAATCCATAACCAGGGATGTTGATGTCGCTGATGAGATTTTAGAGGATTACTCTGTGAGACGTGTTCTGATAATTCTCCAAATAAATGTTGTTGCATGAAAATTTAGTGCCGCTGCTGTTTTTTTATTTTTCTCAATAATTAATTTATTCAAACACACACTTTCCAAACAAATTTTATTATAAATTCATATTACTGCCCTATAATAATTGTTCCATTTAGTGCATTAAATGTGTATGCAAATGTTGCAACCATAATGGGACACAAGTGTATAAATAGTAAAGTTGATACTGAGGTCAACACTAAGGGACGCCAGTTAGTTTTACACTTGAACGCAGACTTCAGGTTATATATTCACACACACACACACACACACACACACACACACACGCACATACACACACATTTATATATATATATATATATATATACATATATATATATGTAAAGTCTTTTTGTGTGTGTCTGTATATGAGAGAGATATTTTATATCTTGATATGGTGAAACGAATCGATAGTAAAACATGTACAATTATAAGATAAATGTGCTCAATTTAACGCAACAAAAGACAAATTTTGTGATAACCATGTCCTTCGACTTGATGAAAGGACACGATATATGATATAAGTCTTGATATTAATCACACTAGTTTTGCAATCACTCGGAGTAAACCACCCTAAAAATTACATCTGTATCTTTCTGAGTTTGACTATAAGTATCCTTTTTGTTTTCTTTTCCTCTAAAATTTCGTTGTTTCTCAAATGTTCGATCCGTGGTATTCTTAGCATCCTATAGTAGAGCCATATTTCTATTGCATTCACTTTCATGTAGGAGTATTATTACTATATAACACTTTCCTTCGTTTTCTATAGAATTTTTCCTGTTTCTTAATACTTTGTTTAGTTTCTAGAAATCATCATTTCGTTATCCCATCGTACTTCGGTGTCGCATATTCCGTTCTGTCAAAACTCTTCCCTGATTATCTTATCTCTGATTTTTAATATACATGTTAGACTATTCATTTTGGTGACAACTTTGCATACTATCTTCAGCAGATGATGTTTAATCCTTTCTTCTCGCATTCCTTCAGTAACGTCTGTAAAAGTTCTTGTAGTTTCTTTCTGCATCTGAAAATGATGTGGGGCCAAAGTTGGGACCACAGAAGTAAAAAACGGAACACGGATTAGATGTAAGAAGGATACATTAACAAAAGGTTACAGAGATAGTGTAAGCGGAGCTTGCTATATATTAGTGTCCAATACTGGTAGTCGTACGCGGCTCTCACTGTCACTCTATCTCTCTCAGTGTCACTCTCTGTGTATGTCACTCTCTAGAGTGTTATGTCGCCTACTTAATATAGGCCTGGAGGAGTCTATTGTGTAGGGAGTTTCCAGTCTCACAATAGAAATCAACAGTGTCATCTGCATATTTCGTGTTTATTGTAGTACAGTTATTAAAATATTGTAGTACTACTGAAAAAATAACATCGCCAATACAATATACATTAATTGTAATTTTAAACTTCAGATAAAATTGTAAATGAAAATTATAGTAAACTAGGAGCATGGCCCGGCGTTGTCCGTCCTTGATTAAAAAATCGTACGACTTATACAGCAATCGCTATCACTTGACTTAAATTTTTTTACCCTTACTTGCCTTCAAAGGAATGCCCAGTAGTGAAACACTTAGGTGTACTGGGCCGCGTAGTAAAGTCAGGAGAGAAGTAACTTGCGACAGCAGTTAACTGAGGTGTACTTGGCCGCGTAGTAAAGGCAGTACACTTCATCTTACGGTGAAAACTGTAAGTGAAGATAAAAGCGTTTGGGCAAACAATTGAGTAAATAAGTAACTTGCGACAGCAGTTAACTGTCTAATAGCAAAACTGAACTACGAAAAGGTAGAAATAGGTATGAAACGCTAAGATGGACTAAGCTGCGCAGTAGAGGCAGCACTCGGAGATAAAATGGGTAATGCAAACGTGTAAGCAAATAGGTAACTTGCGGTAACAGGAAGCTGTCAATTAATCCAAGGACAGATGCGTTAATGGCGATCAAATGAAGACGTGAGTGCAGATGCAGCCGCGCTGAAGGTATTTAAAGGGAGCGTGACTTGTCATTGATTGGTGTAGCCTGGACAATCGCCATGTCTTAGACCAAAGAATGAGCTCACGCAAAATGGAAGATGCTAGCGCGCATTCACGCACACACGCTTGATTTGGCAAGCGCAAGGCTTGGCCGTAAACGGGGTCAAGCTGCCATATGCAGCTTGGCCCTAACGCACGTGATGCTGGCGATGAGAATGCAAGAAGCTGCAATGAAGCGTTTGCTAATTTGGTTTGTGCGAAAACGAAAAGCAGCTAACCGTGTGCAGGCATTAGCTTTGAAATGGATTGGGAGGAAGCCCTGATATTTTAGCGCAAAAACTCCTCGTCAGGTCTGGGATGCGGCCTGAGCTAGGGGAAATGTTTAAGGAATTGTAAAATGGACTGCTGAAGGCGGAACTATTTTCACTCAGCACGTATGCGGTTTTTTTTTTCAGTAAAGACGCGAATAAAGGAAGCGCATATTTTGGTAAGATGCGACGATTAAAGCAAAAGTGTTGACAAATGTCATTTGTGGCTTAAAGTCAGATCAGGTAGCAGGGATAAAAAAGCCGAATTTCAATGGCCCTGCGCCCATTCCAGAATTTGAGGTCAAATGTTTTCTTCCCCTCCACTGCATGCACTGACCTGATTCTTCCCGCGCATAGCGTGAACTTAAATTAATCTGCATTTAGGAAATACCCAACCGGAAAATCATTTTTAAGGGTTGACCGATTGTCGATTTGCACTCTGTTTGGGGGGCGCTCAGAGTTGAAATTTCACTTGGTGACTCCCAATGGCCTCCTCATAAATCCGGTCGGTTTTCGCTAAAAACCGACAGGCGGTTCAGGCGTAATCTGGGCGTATCGGTTCTTGTGTTTTATCGATTTACCGCGCTGTTTAAGGGTCCGTGGACATGAAACTTCTGGACAACACTTCTAATGGTAGACTCTAAGAGGGTATCAAATTTGGTTGAAATGCGATGATTCCTTCTGGAAGCAGATTTTTTCGATTATCGATTTTTTCGGAACCTGAGTCCGAACTCAAAAATCGGCTCCGTCATGTCCTTACGGCAGCCATTTGTAAACTTGTGGTGAAAACCGCATCGAAATCGGGTGAGAAATGCGGCCTGAGCGAGGTACCAACGCCCACGACAGACACACAGACAGACAACATGAGATAGATAGATAGATAGATAGATAGATAGATAGATAGATAGATAGATAGATAGATAGATAGATTTGTTGCATAAACTCCTGTTGCAAATTGTAGGTGAAATATGCCAATACATGCAACAGTTTATTCCTAAAAAATGGCCACAATATATTCCCATGAATAAAAAGATTCTACATTAGCTAAACTCAAAATTACAGCTGAAAGTGTAAAAAATTACGCACACACACAAACACGCACACACTCACATATTCATATATATATATATATATATATATATATATATATATATATATATATATATATATATATATATACATACACATACACGCTCGCTGAATCAGATTAGTGTTAGGGAACAAAGAAATAAGTTACCAAGTAGAAATTACAAATACTTTAAACATTTTAGTTTAAAAACTACCCCAGTTAACTAACGCAGGAGTAATTTAATAATGAATTCTGGTAGGATTTCTAATCTCTTAGAATCATCTCACGCTATAGATTGAAGAAATCGATATGAGACGACACTCCTCTCAGTTTTGTATATTTACTGAATTCTTTTTGATATCCGTATACTTGTGGCTTGCTCACAGTATAGATTCTGGATTTTTCAAACATCCTTTGTAAATACGTCGAACTTTGAACATTTTTTGTGACGTACTTTATCAAAGATATTTGCATAATATATAAAAAAAATAGATAAACATCATTTTTGCATTTGTATTGCTCTTCCTTTTATCATACTGAGCATAAATAGTGCATTACTTGTTCCTTATCTTTAACGAACTTACATTGTTTTAGTACTGTTTGCGATTTAATTCTGTTGTGCATTCTATTTAACAGAATTCGGATAAGATTTGTTGCATGACTTCATAGGTTGATTTTCCGATGGAGTTAACATTCGTTTGCTCTTGTATTCTTCAATGTTATGAAAATCGATCTTCTTAGCTCTTCCGGCATATCACCACTGTAAATGTCTAAGTAATTTTGTCAATGCCTACCCTATCTAAGCCTGTCAGCATCTCTATTACAATTCCATCTGGAATCATTGTTTCTCTACAAATTGGCCAGTGGGTATTTCACTTCAAATTTTAATATTTCGTATTTTTGGATATTTCTGTCTCTGGCTGGTTATTCTTTCGTTGGGGAAGAGTTCTCCTATGTATTCGTTTCATGTTTGAGGTATTTTTTATTTCTAATGCCAGTGTTCTCTTTATTAGATTTTATCCTACCTGTTGAGGATTTTTTTTTTGTCTCGTTAGTTCTCTTATTTCTATGCATAACTTTATCTATAATGACCACAAAATCCACAAAAAGTTGAATTTCGTGTTCGTTAGACATGTAAGCTTTTATTTTCCGGGAAACATTTAATTGTTTCAATGAAAACTTTACCTGCATGCTTAAAAATATATATAATTTGCAACGTGTGGCGTTTATTTTATCGGGGGATTCTAACTGCAGTCTTCCGATATAACAAACACGCCTGTAGATAAACTAGCATGGTTGACAGAAAACCATCTGTAAGCAACCGATTTTTAATTTTCTTCTAATTGGTCTCATTTTATTCTTAACATCAGGTGTTATGTTCTATTCATACAAATAGATATTACTCTAGTTATTATAACCATTTCATATCTGTTTCCATTTTTCAATACATTTGTATACATGTGAACTATTTTAACAATATTTAATCACCTGCTTGTTACAATTCCTAGAAAAAATACATTTGCTATGAGAATATACTTACCACACAGGAGGAAATAAGCTTTTTTAACAGAGGCGTGATTATTTCGGAAATACATTCTACTTATAGTTTCAATATTTTTCAAAATAGATAAAACTATTTTGAACTATTAATGTTCCACTGGGAAGAATAACATTCTGATATCTTCAATTTCGAAGAGCGTTATCTTTTAGTAAAAAATCATTATGGTTTAATCCTGAAGCTCTAAATAAAGTCTGTGCAATTATTATCCATTTGCTCAAACTTGTAATCTTACTTACTCGCTCCTTGTCTCTGCTCCAAGCCTCCGCTCCACTTGCTTTTATCATATCTTCTGAGTGTCAACTTCAAACGCTTTCCTCATTGAATATTTATCCAATGTTTTTCGTACACTTGTTAGAAATATAAATTTGTGGGAATCACTTACATGTGCCATACCTCCGCTTTCTTTAATGTCATTGGTTAATAAATACATGATACTTATTATAGGACAATTTAACCATCGCAAATAATTCAAAATTTTCTCTAAAATCACGGATTGGTCCATTTCCTGACCAATCGCGTATTTTAGTATCTTTTCTATATTTTTGGCGCCAAGCTATCCGGAGCCTATCCATCGTTATATAAAGACTCGCTGTTTGCCAACATCCAGTAGCAGTTCAATTCTTGGAAGTTTTAATTCTTAATTATCACTCAATCGAGTAATCATACTAATTCCTATTGATATCACTCATGAACATTACATTTTTCTACACTGATAAAACACTGTGGAACTATTCTTTATTTAGCTAAGACTTCAATTGAACTTTGTAGTTAAATAACAATCAATATTGTACTCAACATTAATTAGCTAAACTTACCCTTTTTATTACGGAAAAAGGGAAGCAACTTTCTTTATACTTATTGTTGATATTTGTATATCATTGTTAATACAATATTTTATTAATGTTCACTGAGCTTGATTATTTTTCTCTCGTGTTTGTTGTACATTATTCATGTGGGGTGTTGTTTTACAAGAACACAGCCTTCCTTCTTTATTATATTCACGGTGACCCTAGCCAACAATACTTACAGCACCATTACAAATTAATTCGCATTGCAAATTATGGTAAATTTGTTCTATCAATTAATGAGTAGTTAATTTAATGCACGTATATTTAAATGTCAGTTTAGAAATTACAGGTTAAAAATGTTTAATACCCTCAGCCATTTTTAAATTAAAAGTTTGCATATGTTTGAATATATATGGGGCCATTGCACACTCTCTAGTCCTCCAGTTTTTATTATCTCTTATTTTTGATCATACCTAAGAAGTGGTTTCGTTTACGACATATTTATAACAATACAAAATCATTATCAGTATGATAATATATATTACTTAATACTATGTAAATTGAGGGCGTAGATCACCATGGTTCTCTGCAGTTTCGTCTTATTTTTATGCGCACATTATCATGCTATCATGTCGAATCTAGAGTGGTTTTCTTTTATCTTTTCAATGATTTCGACTCCAGTTACCCTACTTCTAAATTGACTGCCACCCAACACTAGCGTGTTAAGTATACATTGTTATTTAACCCAGAGCTGGTGGATTTGATATTTTGACAAAGTGAAATCAGCCTAATAGAACGAAACTGGAGTTCAACTTGTCTATTCATAAGTTTCCTTTGAAAATGTTGAAATTCACGCACATTTATATAATCATTATAGAGTATAAAACATTCTTATAAAAATCTGATTAATATGTAATGATTTATGATTTTGTTATTACAGATCATTGCTGCAATGATATATTACACCATTCAATATGAGGTGAACAAACTTGTGTAAGAAATGTAATGAGATGGTATTTGCTGTATTTATATAAGTATTAGATCAATGATATTCAGTTACAGAGGAGGAAAGTATATAAATATATTTTGATAAGCAATGATCTTGAATTGTAATGACAGAATTGATGTGAGGTACATTGCATCCATCAGAAGAATTCTGAATGTGGAAGGAGTTAACAGTAAACACTTAAGATGCTTTGGCGTATGGAAAATGTACACATTTATTTGATGGTAAAGAATTTGAAAATATCTTGGGCATAGATAGATTTGTCAAACATCGCCAGATGATAGAAATCTAAAATGTTGACCTAAAAATTAGGCTCATTTTCTTAACTAACCTCCTCAGATAAAGACTTGCATACAAATCTGATGAACAGCGCTAAAATTGTTCTAAAATATCTAAACTGCACTCTCAATCACTTACAAACTTACACACAAAATCGGTCACAAACAACGACTGTCGCATTCTTTGTCTCGGTCACACACACAACTGTAATGTTAACCTAAAAACTAGACACTTAAATGAACACGTCGTATCTAGACTTTCATACATATTGAATGAATTGCACCAGACTTGTTCAAAAATATCTACATTGTTTGATCTCTTTCTCACACATTTACAGACTCTCTCTCTCTCTCTCTCTCTCTCTCTCTCACACACACACACACACACACACTGTAGTGTAAAAGAAGATTCAAAGTGGGATGAAATGAAGACTTTTGTTTGAGGTATATTAAAATGTTTTCAATAAATAAACGAAAACTTTTGGGAATTTTTCAATAATAAAATATATTTGGTTCATTTTGATTGAAGTTAATCATTCGGTGATATAAAAATAGGCAATACCTGCTGGCCTTAGAATTTCATTTGGATTCTAATGTAAGATTAAATTCCGACATAAAATTTTAATATATGGACACATTGCAATGAAATGCAATTGCTATAATAATTTGCTTCAAAGAAAAGATATGCTAAAATGAAAATGCACTTTCATACTTTTAAAGAATAAACAGATCAGATCTGTTAGCTGTTTTTTAATAATAGTTAACGTTTAAGTTCCCCCTTTATTGCGTGTATATATATATATATATATATATATATATATGTGTGTGTGTGTGTGTGTGTGTGTGTGTGTGTGTGTGTGTTGTGTATGTGTGCAGTGATGTAATAGGAAAGAACAGTTAGATTAATGATCCCAAGTTCTTAAGTATTTGCTTTTATTTGTAAAACAGTGTACTTGATACAGAAGTACTACTTAAATTATATTTTTAACAAAAAATATGAATCCATCGCGACACAGAAATTACTATGCTTCGAAACTTTTCTCAAGTCCTAAAATTTAATTTCAATATTAAACTTAAAATTTAGAGTGCAGTTTCATTCTCAAGCGATGTTTAGGTTAACTAACTGAAGAAAAGTTTTATCCATTTATAGTTTGGATATGGAGGTGTAATCTAGGTTTTTTTTTCTTTTGTTATCAAGGGTTCACTACTGCGATGAAAGTATGAATGTTTTTTGGAGTCGTGT